TCCCATGGACAATGTCCATGGGGTTTCCTTGGCAAAAATACTGGAGCAGTTTGCCATTTCCTTCTCCATTGTGTCCTCATTTTACAGATGAGGAATTGAGGCAGATAGGAGTTAAGTGGCATGTTCAGGATCACACAGCAAATCAGCTAATTAGCAGCTAATTAGTGTCTGAGGTCAGATTTGAACTCAGATCTTCCTGACTCCAGGCTTGGTGCTCTACCCTAGAGTATATAGTAGGCACTTAATAAATGTTTATTGACTGATTGAATGACTGACTCTACAGGTGAAGTGAAAGTCACCTGTTTCCTACAGATTGATGAATATTTTTCAGGCCTATCTTTCCTCAAAGACTAGCTACAAAATCTTAGAATGTTTCCAACCTGCTTTATTGAGGACATATTCAGATCCATGAAACCATAGCTTCTGGAAATAGTGGACTATCCATACGGCAGGAGTTAAGAACATTCCTACATTCTGCCCTGGTCAGTGCATGTCTGGTTGATCATGTTTAGTATTGGACACCACTTTGTAGGAAGGACACAAACAAATGAGGGCTTCTAGAGCATGATGACCAGGATGGTGAGAGCATTGGGGATTGCCATATGAGGCTCTATTGAAATACCTGTGCATTTTAGAACTTAGAAAAGACAAGGCTCACAAAATGGCATGATAGCTATCTTCAAATGCATGAAAGACTGGCATTTGCAAGGGTTATTGGGTAGAAATTGTAGAAGGAATAATTGGTGGAAATTGCAGAGGAGTTGGCTTCATTTTGATTCAAATAAAAAAGCTTCCTGATAAGAGCTATGTGATAAATAGAATGAGTTATTTCAGGTAATAGAGATCTTTATATAGAGACTAGATAACCAATCAATTAATCAACAGGCATTTGTTGTTTTCTTCTATGTGACAGGCACTGTGCCAAGAGAGTATATAAAGACCAAAATGAAACAGCCCCTGCCCTCATAGAAATTTCATTTGATCAGGAGAGGCACCATGTATATACTACACAAATAAATACAAGATGATTTGGGGGACTATGGAAAGGCACTAGCAGCTAGAAAGATCAGGAAACACTTCATGAAGAAGATGGCCCTTGAATTTAGTACTAAAGTAAACCAGGGGTTCTAAGATGTAGAGATGACGAGAAAGTGCATTCCAGGATCATGAGATAGCCAATGCAAAGGGATGGAAACAGGTAAAAGAGTGCTTCATTAGTAACACCAAGAAGCCCCTGTATCTTCCCCTTACTCCAGTTTCCTTTTTATGTATTATTTCCCCCTTTTAGAATCTAAGTTCCTTGAGGGCAAGGATTGTCTCCCTTTCTGCTTATATTTGTATTCTCAGCATTTAGCACAGTTCATGGCATATAGTAAGTGCTTAATAAATGCTTACTGACTTAATTTTGAAGGCCAGTTTGCCTATACCAACTATGTATCAAGGGAAGCAGTGTATAATAAGAATGGAAAAGTAGATTGCAGCCAGATTGGAAGAGGATTTACATATCAAACAGTTTGTACTTGATACTAGAAACAACAGGGAGCCACTTATTGAACAGGGGAGTGCTGTGCTTAGATCTGTGCTTTAGGACAGGCAGCTGGGTATAGCATAGACTGAAGAAGGGAGTGTTTTAAGAAAGGAACTCTAAGTAGGAGGTTATTGTAATGGACCAGGGGAGAGATGAGGTTCTTTTTGGGGAGGGATGAAGGGGCATCTAGAGGAGCTCAATGTCCAGGTAAAAGTTGAGCTAGATGACTTCTGGGGTCTCTTCCAACTCTAAGATTCTATGATTCAAAAGATTTCTTTAGCAAATGGAGACATAACTACCCAATGCTATACAACTGTGTGCTTATGTGAATGTTTTCTATTTCTCCATAGGATTCCTCATATCTCTTTTCTGCTTTGTGTATCACAACAGCTTTTGGCAGGTGTGCCAAAATTATCTTCAGTCTTTGTTTGCTTAAGCTGTCAGAACTGAAGGATAAGATGACCAAGTGCCCCATGAAATCATGGTTCAATTATGTAGCCAGAATTAATAAGAAACAAATCTGTCCATTCTCCACTTGGTTTTCTAAGGAAAGTCTTCAAATTATCCTTTTGGCCATGACTTCTATGAGTTTTCTGGTTTCTTTTATGTTAAGTATATCAATATGGCTAGTGTTTCTTTCCTCTGGCAATATATTGATTTATTAATTACTGGAAAGAGATGCTATTATATTGATAGCACTGAGAGTTAAATTAAAATGATAGTCTAAAAATTATGTGATGCTTTATCCCCTTTTCTGACATTCCACCACCATTACTGTAGAAGTAGAATTTGGTCATTCAGAACTGGAGAATGTAAGATAAGCCATCTTTATGGTGAAAATGTGGGTCAACGAATGGACAACTGAATCATATCTTGGTGTCTTAAAGAAAAAAATGAAAGTCTACAGCAGATTGGATAAATCTATGGAACTTAGCTTGAATAATAGTTACATGGAAGATGGCAGTATAAAATGGTGCATGTATGTCATTATCTTCATATATGGAAGGAATACTTACATCGAGGAAACAGATAATTCTAAATATTGTACTCATTTTTATGATTTGTTGGATCCATATGTCCTATATTTCTCATTAATTTGTAATATTGAAGGAGGATCACGTCTGTTTCTTTCACATTTCTTTAATCTTCGTAGGTGTGGATTTACTTATATGTGTAGATATTCTATTGAATGGCCACCACAGTGGTTTAACAGAAGAATGAACTATAGAAGTTAGGTCAAATGAAATAACATATTTTAAAGTGATTTGTAAACAGTGTCACTATATAAATGGGAGTTAGTACTATTGCATTTACTGTTAGAAGGCTCCAAAGATGAGTGCTAATTCTAAGATAGAAATAGTTTGTTTCAAAAAACATTTTTGAACATCTAACATATATTCTTTGAGGGTAGGGACCATTTTGGTTTAATCTTTTTATCTCTAGTGACTAGCACAGAGTCTTGCCCACAGTAGAAAATAAGTGATTAGAGTGAAATTAATTGAATAATATTCAGTATTACAGTGGATAATTCTGTGAGTTCAGGAACAAGCAAATAGTAAACTCCTTAAGGGATTATATAAAAATGACTGTTCTTCTATAGTATCATAGCTGCCTTCATCATCAAACATTTATGGAGAATCCATCTATGTGGCATGGAAACATGCATAATTTTAATGGCTTTTAACAGATGTGTACCAGTTATGGGAAAATATTTTTGAAAAGAAAAAAAAAACACTATGAGATTAAATAATTTATTACCATTGCTAAGATGAACACATATACTTGATACTCAATTTTATGCAGAACTTTAAAAAAATAGTTTTAATACAGTATAAAATTTACACAAGAGTTTTGTCAAAAGACTAGTGTCCCTTGAATAGCTACTGCAGGGTCTACTGCAGGCACTAAAACTTGTTTTAAATGTTTTCTATTGTATAGGAATACAACAATTTAAGTTTATAGATGAAAACTTTGTGAAAATGTAAATATAGCAAGCAGGTTTTTTTTTAACAGAGAATAACAATTTTGAAATATAACATCTCAAAAGGAATATTTGTTTAAAATCTAACCAAATAAAGATAATTGGAGAGAAAAGTCTGTGGCAAATTAATTCACAAGGATTTTCAGACAACAGTAGGCTGGTTCTACATCACAGTACCATAATTTTTTTAAGTGTACATCAATTTCTTACATTCTACTACCAAATGGTCAATTAATACAACATGTAACAAGCCCACAAAAAAGAGAAAATATTTGCTGTCAAGCAAACCCTTAGTAATTGAGAACAAACCTGAAAACTGGCAATTGTTGCATTCCTATCTCTTTTATCCTAAGCTAAAAACTTAAGCAATAGCATTCTGTCACAGGCCTCTTGCATATTCATACAAGAAACTCGTTGCATTTGGATAAACACAAAATACCTATCATAGCATTTCCATTACACACAGTCTAGTGTTATACATATTTCCCCCCTCCCCCCCAAATAATAAATGAAATAAACTAAGCATAGCTAGCATGTCTCTTGGTCAACCTTCAAGCAATCTGAACAAGAGTTTTTAGCTTCAAAATAATCAAAGACATGCGTTGAGTATCATCAAACAATTCTTTTAAAGAAAGCTGCAGTAGGCAAGGAAAGCTTTTTTTCAAAAATGCAGTGCAATCTTTTAAAGTCTACTTAGAGTTTGTTAAATATAACTGCTTTTCTAGAAACAAAATTGTCAAAAAAAAAAATCAACATTTTCTCACAGCTGGAAACCATTAAAGTAATGTGATTGTTGAAGTTGCAAATTTTCAGTAATAATGCTGATGGGGGAGTGGCCCAGGAGACTGGTCACCTCCAAGCTGTGTTATCAAAATGGAGGGGAAAAGGCGCTTACCTGCCCAGTTGGCCAGAAACCATGTTCTGAGACAAGTTCTGTCAGGGATTTTGCTACACTACTAGTTGGAAAAATGAATTTGTGAGATAATTTTAGTACCTCAATACAAATATTGAATGATTCAGGGGGAGAAAATCTAGCCATTTCTTTCAATTAAACACCAGCAACTAGCATTTTATATACTCAAGTACATGTGAGATGGGGCCTAGTTTCCAAACTTTGGAAGCTGGAAGGCAACATTTCTTAGCTTCTACATAACATAGTAGCAAGTGACTATTATGTCACACCAGTCAAAATCACTAGAGTACTACCAGAACATCTTCCATTCATGAAAAACTCAAATTGTCCTAAGATCTTGAAGAATCTGTAGGATAACAAATTAGTGATGTCATGATTCAGAGACTGCACTTGAATATAGTGAAGCAAGAAACACAAAATTGCCAGTAGCATAGGGGACCTGTACTGAAGTGTTCAAAGAAGACATAGATGTGGTACACAACCACCCTATCATTAACCCCCATGAGTCCAGGTGTGTGGAAATCATGCTTTCTTTTCTTTCCCGCCACCAGTGCTAATCTTGTATTCAGGAGTGATTCTCACATTGGTCCTTTGTACTGATTCCCAGACAGATGTTGCCTAATTCCAGGACAAGAACCTGCAGCATCTCCAAGTTTCCGCCACACAACCTAAAAGAAGTAAAAGAACAAAGATGTTAGTGGTAATCATTCACAAGAGTCCAGTACTCTGTTGTAACGATTCAAGGTAAATGCTAGACATTCATGTTGAAGAACTGAGGATAAAATGTGCTTTAAAAAAATAATGATTTTGAGTGGATACAAAGTGAAATGTCCTGAGAAGCATTTAAATGACTGAACCAAGATATTTTTGCAAATGAGACCATATGCTTTACTAACAAATGAGTCAAAATTAAAGGCTGATGTGACAACTTCTTTCAAAACTACCATAATATTACTGTATCAATGAAATATATTATTTCTAATAAAGGAAATCAAAGCAATCGATTTGTTTAAAAAAAAGGAATGGGTGTTTTGGTTCAAGACTCAGCCAAATTCTCACTTCATAACATTATGTTGGCTTGAATATTTTGTTAATAAGGTTGACTTCACTCTCTCCTTCCACCACACTGCCTCTTCCCCACTCCAACCCAGAGTTAACGTCTCCTGTTTTTGTAAATCTTAGTAGTTAAAACAAAGATCACTCAGATTGGCAAAATCAAAAGAACTCAAAAGGCAAAGGTAAGAGTAAACTCATGATAGCCTTGAAAAGAAAATACAATGGTGGATGAGAGAGAGAGAGAGAGAGAGAGAGAGAGAGAGAGAGAGAGAGAAGGCTTTTAATGAGACAATGAAACAACTGCAAAGCTGGGATTTTGAAAAGCAGAAATACAGACTGGTAATACTACTAAATTCAGCCCTCAGTATTAATAATTTTCCATCATTGAGAGTATATATACATATACATGTATGTGTATGTATATACGTATGTAACATCAAGAACCCTTTTTGTCTCCAAGAGAGTTTCAGTATAAGGATAATATTCTAATGGTTTAATTCTTAATTGAATTATTCTAGAAAGAAGCAGAAAACAAGTTATTAATTTATTTGCTTTCAGATAGGTCTAAGTAATTCAATAATGCTGACAGAACCAAGGCAAATATTAACTTCTATTTTTCAGCAGATATGATGGTTCTTTAGACATACTACAGCATTTGGCAGAAGAGAATTATAATTTTGTTTTCAAATATTTAAAGAGAAATTATATAGAGGAGTGATCAATTCAATATGCTACCTCAGTGGGTTAGATATTCTACTTGATCCCCAACTTGAAAACAAAGATAGTCACCATAACAAATGACTCTAAGAGGCCACAGTCTCTTTGTCTTGATTTTTCATCAAAGTAAAGATGCTTATCTTTTAGAATAGATTCTATGTGATCCTGCTGAGAGTGATGAGGGTAGTTATATGAGGCCTTACAACCTAAAGTGCAATCTCCATCCCTAAGTTCTTCCCTACATATGCTGGGGATATCACCTATGCCAAAGTTACAAACTGATGGCCCTAATTTGGTCAGCACTGTGTGGTTTAAGGAGACTCCCAAATGCTAGGACTGAGTAAAATATGTCTTTTACATTAGAACCAAGGGCCCAAAAATAATAAGCTAAGATGATTAGAAAGCAATAGTCTACACGTTTGGGGTTCACAGAACAATGCAACTGTAGATATTCAATTCTTTGAGATTGTCACCGAGGCTATCCACTGGACATATCCTACTGACATGGAGTTAGCAACTTGATAAGGCCTACCTAACATTTCTGAAGCTCTAAGGTTACCACTAAAAATTGGTTTTCTATTTCTTAAATAGTGATACCTTTATTCATGTAGTGTTCTTCAGGAAAGGTTTAATATTATCATATAGCGATTAGTCAATGAATAAAGATTATGAATATTATTTTTGCCATTTTACAGACAGGAAGATGAAGATGTATAAAGACTAGGTGATTTGCTCACAGAAGGACCACTAAAACTGATGTTATAACCTAGACCAGGAGTGGGGAACCTGTGGCCTCAAGGCCACATGTGGCCCTCTAGGTCCTCAAGTACAGCTCTTTGACCCAGTCCAATCTTCACGAAACAAATCTCCTTAATAAAAAGATTTGTTCTGTAAAACTTGGACTCAGTCAAAAGGCCACCCCCCCCCAGGATCTAGAAATCCACAAGTGGCCTCAAGGCCACAGGTTCCCCACCTCTGACCTAAACCAAATAAAATATAAATCTGAAAATCATTATGAAACCAAAGAATAATGTTACTGTATTGAATGTTGGGTCGTCAGTCTATTCCCTGGGCCTCATTAAGTTTGCTAAGCATTCATACAATTAAATCCAGTGATGCCTATTTTACTTTCGTTTTAATCAATTCTTCTTTGTCAATCTGACCTATAAATGTGATCTAGTTTCAAAAGATGTCAAGGTGAATTCTGGGCCTCCCTCATCAAAATCAGGACATAAAAACAAAGAAAAAAGCTGAAAGGAAAAAAGAAATAAGTGACAACAGAGGATTAGTGTAGAAAAGAATATATCATAAATAGGAAGAAGAAACTGTCACTTTGCATGGGTCTTTCATGTTAAGGTGGAAACTAATAAACTGGGCTTTAAAACATTTAAAAATTATCACAAAGTAAGACAACAAACTACTTGATTTACCCCAGCTCAGAATTTAACTGACTTTATCAGTAAATATGGTGAATATCCCAAACCCTTTAATTTAAGGTTAATAAGTTTTTCATCATGATGCATCTTTCTAGATAGAAATGGTAGCAACAGCTATGGTGGAAAGTTGCCCTCTATGAAAGATACTATTTTGCATTCTCTAGGAAGAGAAACTATAATCCCAAGACTCGTAGCAATGGGATGGTGAAAAGAGCACAACACGAGGAAAGAGACCATGGTCTTAGACCTGGCTCTGCCACTAGCTTGCATGAGCCTTAAGCAAGTCACTACACCTTCATGGGCTTCAAATTCTTCACTTATTAAATGAGAAAATCAGACTAGACCTCTCAAGCCCCTTTCAGCTTTAATAGTCTTATTATTGTTAGTAATTTCTGATTAATTTGTTTATCAAGGTAAAGCATCATCATTACTAGGTAAGAATGCTTATTAAATTGAAAAAAGAGAAGGGTCACTTGAAAAGATTTAGAAAAGGCAACAGTAGAGTATCTAGGAAAATATATAAAATATATGGCTAAGATTGGTGGTACGTGTCCATAATGTCTGCTCTACCAAGAGGTTGCACCTAGTAGATTGCTTGAGGTCAGGAGTTCTGAGCTACAGTAGCACTAAAGCGGGCCAGGTATCCATTCTAAGTATGACACCAATATGATGAGCCCCTAAGAGTGAAAAGTCATCAGGATACATAAAGAAAGGTGAGCCTGCCCAGATCAGAAATGGAACAAATCAAAGTTTGTGTGCTGATCAGTAGTGGGATTGGGGCCAATGAGTAGTTGCTGTACCTCCAGCCTTGGAGAGATAGGCAGATCCAGTCTCAGGGAAGGGAAGAGAATGGAAGGGAAGGCAAAGCAAGGGAAGATATGACCATATTTCTTTAACATAATAACAAAAAAAGATAGGAAATGCAAGCAAATGGCTTGGAAAACACTGGGGAAAAAAAAGAGCAAACACAATAGCCAACCAAAGACCACAATTGACAGGAGAATTAGATAGTAATTTCCTATTCTCTCCCCCAGAAAATATAAAACTCCCATTAAGTTCAGTGGAATTGCCACACATTCTTTTTATTTACCATATAACAAGGACCAAGGACACATGGAATACAGGTGGGCTGGCAAAATCTCACCACAATAAATTGAGTGTTTGCATTATACTTCTAAGCAGTTCTAAAGTTAAAAGGAATGAAAAGATGGAAAGGAAAAACACTCTCCGGAAAGTTTAAACCAATACTTCATTAAAAAACTACCACGTTTTCCTCTAACATAAATAATCTTCTATCAAATTCCCTGTACCACTTTCATAAATTCCTTTATCTCCTTATTCCTGCTTAGAATTATGGTATGTTTCACACCTAAAATGACTGAGCGTTAAGCTGTTGCTTGAGATTTAAAAAAATCCCTACTACATCAATGAATACATATAAAATGCATCTTGAAAATAAGACAGATCCTTACTGTTTTCCTTTTTTTGTTTAATTTACATAATTACTTACATATATTTAATTACCTTTACATCTACACATAGATTCATAGTAGTGATGAGTTAGTGTGTCAACTCCTGCAGAGTAAATACAAAGACTTTGAATAGAAGCACAGTATCTTTTATATGAGGGACTTAGAAAATAATATTTATGAAGATAATGATAATTTTCTTAGTATAACATTAAACAGGAGTGCATCAGAAAAATATCAGCTTAAAAAAACATATGTTCATCACTAAACAAGGAGCTGCCAAAAATTACAAAAGAGAAACACTATTAAAAATTTTGCTCAAGAGAAATAAAATGATTATTACCCCATGGCATATTACCATATTATTTGATAATCAATTGAAGAGATAATGAGAAAATTTCATAGATGGCTCTAGCATACAGATCTTGCAAATCATTTCTGACCTAAATGTTTTATGATAGGATTAGTATTTTCATAAATGCTCCAGAGTCAAATGGCAGATGAAACAGAGGATAACTGGTTTTATTTTCATATAAAATTTTAAAAAGCATTCTGTCCCCATTTTTTAAAAAATAGGTATTCGTGGAGCAATAACTTAGTTATGATGAGGCTTCAATACAGAATACATAATTAAGCATATAAAACTTACATTGCACATTTCTCTGACTATAGCTTTTTCTGTCTCACTAAGGTCATGGTCATACTCTTTACCCTGTTGATGATCTATATTTTCCTGAACATCCAAGACCTGGATTTGTTGAGAAAGAAAAATAAATTTCATCTGAAAAAAGAATTAGTTTGTTACGGATAGGTAAAAACATTGAGGAAATCCACTGGTCCTCTATATGTAAGTAGTGTTCATAGTAAAGTAGCCTAAATCAAAGGCTTTGAAACCCACACACTCTGAGTACATATCTGTACAATTTTGTAAATCAATTACTCATAAGTTGATCTCTGCAATTTTTTGGATAACACATAGAAACTCTATTCCATTAATGTTCAAAATAACTAAACTGATCATTACCTTCATCAAAAAGACAACCTGGTGGCATTAACCATTTGCAACTATCTATTATTGTATGCCTCATTGTCATAATGATCAACACAAATAATCTTATCCCATGACTGTTTCATTTGTATGTTACATGGACACAGGCAACATAAGGATTGGCTAAAGGAGATGGGAGTCTATGCCCACTAGGGACCTAGGCATTGTCACAACCCAGGAAGGTATACTTACGAGCTCCATTAAGATACACGTCAGTCTCCATTAATGTTGAGTGTGGGTGGGTGGGTGGATGTGGTTTTTCTCCTAGAACATCACCTCATGCCTTATGGAGTTTATAAAACATAGGAAAAATATTTTCCTAAAACTATGTGATTCCAGTGCTGGACAATAATATTTCCAATGCATTCAGGTCTGCTGTCTCTCCAAAATTGATACTAATTCCCACAGCTAAATCTACAACCACATAATCTACAATGACTAATAGGAGAGCTGAAATAAATGAACCGGGCATGAAGTAGTTCATTTGTGCAAAGTCCGACATTGCATTGATATTTATATAACTTTAGCCCCATAGTGAGCAATCCAATTATAACACTATATCATGGAAATTCAGAAACATAAACCACTTTATATGTATCTGATTCTTTAATGCAGAAAAAAATCAAAAAAGTAAATGAAAATCTGACATCTGTACTCATACTGGATAAGAGTTGTTCATATTCTTTTTACTTTTATATAAAATTATTATCTTTGCTCAGTGAATATTCATAGAAAGCTTGAAGGGCACAGTGTATGACACTCTTCTCCTACCTATTTGATTTGTAATACACCCCAGAGAAGTGTACTTCAAATCAGTTAATTTCTACTAAATGAATTGAAGCTCTGATTAATAGCTATCATGCATTTAATAAGCAAGAAATGACTATAGCATCATTATGAAGGGGCTAATTTCTCATTCACCTCCACACTCCCACCATCATGCTCATTCAGGCACAGAGATCCTTTTGAGGTCAATCAGCAAAAAAAACCCTTAGGGATATGGAGGAAGATGAGGAACTAGGGCCATAATTCTAATTATTTTTGTTGAGAAGGAAAAAAGAAAAACTCTTGACAGATCAGCTCTAGTGTGATGACTTCTAAAAGCAGAAATTGCCAAATGGCAACTTTTTTCATATTTATGTATCTCTATAAGGGTATATTCCTAATTATCAAAATACTTAATAAAAAACATTTTCTTTAGAACATGCTGACACACATTTGTGTTTCCCAAAACGCTTCTTGCAAAAGAAGAAAATAAACTCCATATTCAAAACCCTTCAGTTATTCAATAAAAGTAATTCATTGTTCGGTATAGATACCAACCAATAACTTAGAAATAAGTACTCTAGCTAATTATAACATATAATTATATAACATACTCAATGTTTCCCTAAATTACTCTCTCGGGATAAAATTTTATATGATAATTAGTGTACTAATTATAAGGAAAATTTAAAATGCCCTTTTTTTCTTTCCTTACCCCTAAATTAGTACACACTAACAGTTTCCAATCATAGCAGAATTAGGAAACTTGTTAAAATTTGCAATACTAAAAATGCTACCCTTTAAAAAATTGTGATCTTGGACATTTGAAAATACAACAGACTAAATGACTCTCAAATACTTTGAAAGGAAGAAGGAAAAACTCATTGCTTTTTTAAAGGTATGTGAACACAACTCTTCCAAGTTTACACTCTATGGGATATTTTGTATTTCCAAAATGTATTTCAGATAGCTTTTATTTAATAAACTATTAGCAAAATACAACCTTCACATTTGCATCCAAATGGTAATGCACTTAGCATGGTGTCTGTCAGACAGTCAGTGGACAAATATATACCAAGCATATAGATAGGTGAGTTTTTGGTGTGGGTTTGGGGGTAGGGGAGGAATGATTCTGGATCTGTATAGCATCAGGGAGAAGTCATGTGGTAAAAATTCCCTCCAATAAGGTAGATCAGCAACCTTCTCAGTAACCTAGAATGTTACTACCTAGGACAATGTCTTTGATGCCAAGGTTCTACTTCCCCACAGTATATTATAATTGCATCTCTGCCTTCAGAAAGATCTCTTGAGCCATCTCAAAGAAAATCAGAATCCTCTTAATTACCCACATGTAGTTCTATCCATTTTGGGAATTATCTATGATATGGAGAACAAACTCTGAATATAACCCAGTATAATTCTGGTATTAGCAGGTATGCACTTTAGGAATTTAGTATTATTTCAAGGAAAACTTAATTAGGAAGGCAAACCTTTGCCAAATACAAATTATACAATGTAGTCCAAAACCAAATATAAATTCTGGGGGAATCATTCACTGCTCTGCAGTATCCATGCCATGGGTGATGCTTCTCTATTCCATTATGATAGACTTTAATTCTGATGAGAACAAGTATAATGATGTGGAAGATTTTGGGAAAATCTTCACCTGTTCAAAAAATAATAAATCTGTTACTCTTAGCAAAACCCTTAAAGCAAATGAAAGGCTGATTCTTCCTTTTCCATGTCTCAGGAAAGTAAAACAGAGAGAAAGCTTGATTTGCTCTAGGCCACACTGTGAGTCAATAGAAAAGTCAGAATAAGAAACCATTAAGTAGTTGGGGGACATAATTTAATCCTATTCAATTGGTACCTTTAAGGTCGCTAATATTTCAAGCAAAGTATCAAGAAATCTTAAGGTTTTTGTATAACACCTATCATTAGAAAACAAATTCACTAATTCTGACTAATTATATAATTTTGATGATGTTTTATTACTTTCAAGTGCATACCACAAATGAACCCCCAAAAAAATTCTGCCCTGGTGCCTCATCCAAGCATAAAAGTAATCCTAGCCTCCTAAGAGTTATGCCAGCAGAGAGTAAAGTCTAAAAAGTCTTATCAAGCTTGAAAGCCTTTAAGTATGGGTCCAGAGAAGAAGTGTGTCTGTGAACAAGGAACTTAGCTAAATTCACAGAGGCTCATCACCACGATAGCTGCCAGCATCTAAATTTTTGAGCCATTGAAGCTCTCTATTATAGAAAGTTTCCAATCTATATCACTGGAGAGAGTACTATGCCAAGGGAATCTGAGATTCTTGAAATGTTGAAGTATGATAAAAGAAACAAGACAAGTGTTGCCTAGTACATGTCTCCTGATTAACAGATAAGAATGATTCTGAAATTGTTATATCAGAATACCAGCCATCCACTACTGGCCTTTTCTAAGCCTGCAATTTCATTGACTGTACCATAAATAGATGCTATTCTATGGTTCAGAATCCATTTTCAGGGGATTTTTGGACTCCGTATCCCTAGCACCTGGAACGGTGCCTTGCACAAATCAAGTATTTAATAAATATTTGCTAAGCTGAATTCTACCAGTGTCTTAAAACAATGTATTTGTATAAACATTATATCAAAAGCAATAGTCACATTATTAATTTGCTTAGCAGCTGCAACACCCCCCCTACTTCCCCAAATAAAACAAAGGTTAACATCCTAATTTTCATATATTCTTAACTGCAAACTTATGAAATGTTATTGCATATTGTTATATGTAATTTATTGTTTTAAGGAAGTCCAAATAAATTCCAAATAAAATTGGAAAAAAATTATTTCCAAATAAATGCCAAACAAACCATTTATGAATCTGGTATCCCCACTTGGATAGGGTTTTTGTTTGTTTTCTTTTGTTTGGTTATGATTTTTTTTAAAAAAAATTCTTTGTCATATGGGGCAGGAATGGGGAATAAGTGATTAAAGAGCATGAAGGAAGGAAAATATGTGTTGTCACATTTCGATAAACCTCAAAGTCTGATATCTGAAGACATCCATGCTACATACATTGCACATATAAATAACAATATTTTACACATACATATGTATATGCACATCAGACTGACTTTGATGCATGTACATATGGATAGCATTACTTGTAACAGAAATATAACAATGGAGATTACACATTAACTCTCCAAAGCCAAAACTTCTTATTCAGAAAAACACTCATCTTTGAAAAAATAATTTCAAAAATTAATATGTTTAAACAGAAAGAAATAAAAATATCAGGGAAAAACATCTATGGATACAGCAAGACTGTGAGAGGAAATCACACTGTGGGAAGAAGTCAAACACAACTGAGATTCTAGATGCATGGTTGTGTGCTGTTGTTTACCTTAAGAGTATGTACCACTGGTTCAGGTTGCTGAGAAGGTGTGGTATGTCCGCTGAAGCTAGCTGGAGAGGTGGGTGAAGTGTTATTCCCATCAGCCCCTGATGGCAACCTAAAAGGACCCTTAGTAAAAAATCAACAACTTTGTTATTAAACAAAAGTCGTTTATAACTAATTAAGCAGATGTCATTGTCATATTCAGTTTTCCTGGCAAACAAGGATGAGTTTTGTTTTTTTTGTTTTTTCATTTGAGAAAGGTTAAAATAAAACCCACAGCTCTTGCTTGTTTCTAAATTATATTAATTCTTCTCATTAAAATATACTTGTTTTTTGCACGGCAAATAAGAATACTAAGCCAATGACTCATTTTTGTATACTTCCAAATGCCATTTCTGATTTACCAAAGAGTACAGTTACCCCCCAAGGAATGACCATTAAGAACATTTCAAGGATTTTTTTTAAACTGAAGTGACTCTAAAACAGGGAATTCATAAGTTGCTCCACAGCTCAGCTATAACTGCTAAGTCAGCAAGTCAAATGCCATATTATACACTTTTCAGAAAAATGCATACACGCCATATTTTTTATGTATTGAGAGAACTGGGTCTGTTACAAAGCGTTACTTGGAGGGAAAAAAACTTTAATGGTATATTTTCCCCCTCTCAGATTTAACTAAGCATCACACTATTTTCTTTGAGAAAAAACCTCCTGTCTCCTCTTCTTGCCTTAAAAAGAAAAGAAACCAAGACAAAGGAGCTCCCTAACATGTGTTTGGGTTTGTGGCTCTTTATCTTGCAGCTGAATAACTGGAGGTAGGGACTTTATTTGTTTTCCCCATGATGGCCAGAGTCTGACTCTGCCAGATAGCAAGGAATCATTTTTCTAGAAACTTGTGCTTTTAATAGGGAGGACTGGAAGAAATGCTCATGGGATCATTGTATTTAGAGCTAGAAAAACTCATAAGAGACATTTAGTCCAGAGGTATCAAACTCAAATAGAAAAAGATCCCTGCCAGCCATGTATTGACTTAGAAAATCCCAAAATAACATTATCTATGGTGTATATTTATTTATTTTGTTACACATTTCCCAATTATATTTTAATCAGATTCAGGTGCACCTGGGAGTTTCCCCACAGTTAGCAGCCCATGGGCCAGGAATTTGACACCTCTGAATTCCATTCCCCTCATTTTACAGAGAAGTAATAAGACAACGAGAGGGATAAGAGAAGCAATGGCCTGCCGCCTCTGGAACTAGTGTCTGCTGGAAATTTTTTCCATTCTCTTTTATAGAGGCCATCACTCCCCAGGGAAAGACTCAGGCTCATTTTTATTTCAGTCGATCAGTGAGTACATGATTCTTCCAAGTCCTAGGGTAAGACTAATAAACAACTCTTCCTTTAAAGTTGATTCTGTGATGCTAGCTCCCTTGTTAAGTACCAACTAGAGCCTGGAGTTTGTGCACTTTTTTGGTTTTTTGTTGTTGTTGTTCAGTTGTGATAGCCATATTTCAATATAATTAATTTCCTTTGTAATCTTCTGCATTTTATTTTATGCATTTAAAAACATTATTCTGAGGAGTCCATAGGCTCCACCAAACTGTCAAAAGGAGTTCATGACACACACACACAAAGGTTACAAATCCCTACCTTAAAAGATCATAGATTTCGAGGTGGATAGAGACTACCAAGTGAGCTGTCCAACCCCTTCCCCCTATTTTAGAGATGAAGAAACCGAGACTCAGAGAAATTAAGTGACATGAGTACATGTTCTCTGCTACCAGATCCAATACTCTTCTCCCCAAACCACACAGCAGATGGTTGTTTTGGTAAGTGCAATAAAATGCCCATATAGCCTGAAGAGATACGAGCACCAGCATGAATTTTACACACAGACATGTTCCGGAATGAAGGGAGGGAGTAGTTGTATAACAGGACAATTTATGTAAGGGCTTTATATATGTTCTTGGAACATATGGTGACAATTTCAATTTATTTACATTTGAATTTCTATACTTTATGCCATTTTTTATCTATACACTATGTTTTGTCTATACTCTACACCTAGATTCCCACTTCCACCCACCCACCCACCCCACTCCCCCATCTCTTCCTATGTTCCTGGAGGCTTTCTTTGGCATCTAACAAATCAATCAAGGACATTTCCATTTCTTGCTGCTTCCACCCCCAATATTGGAGCCACATTAGCCTTTCTCCCCAAGTGTCCCCCAAAACATGGGTTCTTAAAGTGTGTGTGTGTGTGTGTGTGTGTGGTGTACCCCCTTGCAGCCCAGTAAAACCTATGGATCCTTTCTCAAAATAAAGTTTTTAAATGCATAAAATATGATTGAAAAGGAAACCAATTATACTGAAAATTAAAGATGTATTTTCCCCATTTAAGTTCATCAAACCCAAGTTAAGAACCCCTGATATAACCCCTCACATTAAAATAAAGACTGCTATGAAAGTATAATGTTTTCATTTTTGGTTCCTCTTGTATGCCCCTTTAGCACAGATAATCAGTACCTGAGACATAGGACTGATCATTTTAAAAAACTACCTTACCAAAGTTACATGGTACTAGATATTGTCTAATATAGGTGAAATTCAAACCAGGGTCCCTTCACACCCATCCACACACACAAAAAATTATAATAATCTCCTATTATAGTTAAGATTTAACTACACGTTTTTTAAAGACTCTAAGATTCTTCTGCCTTTCTTGGTGGATGCCTTCATTTCTTGAAGAGGACAATTGATTCTAAAACTGAAAAGGTATCTAGGTATGTTACCCCCATTGTCACAGCAGAATTCCAACCCTGGTTCCATGGTACTACCCCCTCTAAAGCAGGGTATTCTTAATCTGCCACCTATGAACTTGTTCATTTCTTTTTTTACTATTTCTATAACTGTATTTCAATATAATTGTTTTCCCTTGTAATCTTATTGTACATTTGAACATTACTCCAAGAAGAGATCCACAAGCTTCACCAGACTGTCAAAGGACTCCATTACACAAAAAATTGTTAAGAACCCCTTATCTAAAGGATGCTCTCCTTCCCCACAAGACCTGTGACCCAACCTTATGGACTGTTTTTTTTTTGTTCTGGTTTGGTTTTGTTTTTTGGGGGGAGGGGGGGACTAGGCAATGGGGTTAAGTGACTTTCCCAGGGTCACACAGCTAGGAAGTGTCAAGTGTTTGGTCTGAGTCTGGATTTGAACTCAGGTCCTCCTGACTCCAGGGTTGGTGCTCTATCTGCTGTGCCACATAGCTGTCCCAAACCTTATGGATTGTTCAGAGGATTTGTTAGCAGAACAAGGAAGGCAGTATAGCTGAGTAATAGGCATGAACAAGTAGCAGCTACTGTTAATTTCCCTGAAGAGTACACCAGCTTTTGCCATTTGGGAGCTATTTAAGGTCTGTACCTATATTGAATAGGGAGAAACTGAACTTTCACCATGTGTCTGAAAACAAACCCTGATCATACTATGTACAAAACCATGTAGTGCTTGGAAGAAGGAGGGAGGTAACCTGGGCCCAGTCCAGCCCAGTAGCAGTGCTGTGATGGTCAGCTAGCCCTGGGTATCTATTTCAGTTAGGATTATGCATGTGCGTCCCTGTGTTGAATGTTCCCCCAGGGAGTCTGGTCTACTGGTTATTGTACCCTTGATGGCACCTTCTGTTTCCTTTCTCAAAGTCCAGGACACCCTGCTGGAACCTGACCCTCTTCAGATATGATAAAGAATTCATTCTTAAACTTTTTTCAAAGACTGCTATAGTCTGTATATATTATTGAGACTGTAACAACATCCAAAAATCTTACACCCATATAGCACTATACCTCTAATATCCAGCAATTTTTGGATTATATATCTTTTCCTTATTCTATACCATCCCACACTATAGACCAAAAGGTGCCGGTGCATTCCTATAATTCCTACTACTGGGAAATTGCAACTGGGATTCTGAGCCTCCTGGATCCTTGGAGCTACAATATGGTTGAAACTGATTAGATGTTCACACTAAATCTGGCACCAATGTAGAGAGCTCCTTGGATGGAGGCACCAGGTTGCTGAAGTGGGGATAAATTGGCCCATATCAGAAGTAGAGCAAATGAAAGCTTCCATGCCAATCATCAGGCCCATAAGTGGCCACTACACTTACAGCTTGGGTGAGATAAGAAGACCCGGTGTCAAATTTTTAAAAAATTAATAATAATCATAGGGCATGTTAGTTTTGGTAGGCTCTCTAAAGGGTCATGGATCCTTGGTCTTCTAAATGAGTGGAGGTTACGGAGATTTGAAAATTCAGTAAGGATTTAATAGACTTTAGACTGGAAGGGAAGGGGAAGAAAATAAGAATTCATACAGTGCCCACTATGTGCCAGGCACTGTGCTGAATTCTTTATAAATATTTCATCTGAAGGTACCTTCCAGATACCATCTAGTCCAATCCTCTTATGTAATGGAAGAGGAAACTAAGACCATAGAGATTAAGTGACTTATTCAATGTTACACAAATTTCAATTTTCTGACTCTTAAGTTCAGCCCTTCTATTAGATTACATAGACTACATCCAAAACTCTCTAAAAGCTTGAACGTTTTGAAAAATAAAAGTTCCAGGATTAGTTATATCTGTTTATCTTGTTTTTCTTCTTCTCTTTCTTTTTAAAATAAAGGTTAAGGGAGAAGTCATTTCTTAGAATTTATTGTAGGGAAAAAATAGTTCAGGGGTGACTAGAAATTCCAAATTTATCTCAAGATTCCTGGCCTCTCCAATGAAAAATTACCAAATTCAAGGATCAGTTTCATATTTTCTGACTTTCCAGGAGGTGTCCAAAATAATTAAGTGATTTAAAAAGTTACAAACTTATTTGTTGTTGTTTGATCACATCTGGACTTTGTGTGACCTCATATACGGTTTTCTTGGCAAAGATACTGGAGCGCTTTGCCATTTCCTTTTCTATTGGATTAAGGCAAACAGAGGTTAAGTGACTTACCCAGGGTCCCACAGCTAGTGAGCATCTGAGGCCAGATTAAAACTTAGATCTTCCTGACTCTAGGCCCAGAGCTCTGTCCACTGAGATATCTAGCTGCCTGCTAGAATAAGTAATTCTCTAGTTATTGTAAATGGCATTTTATTTTATATGTAAATGGCATTTTATTTTAGCTCCTACTAATCTGCTATGAAAAGATACCAAATCTACATCTTGGTAGATGCGAAATGACATTTGAAGAAATGTCTAAGTCCAATCCTGTTACAAGAAAATCCTTGTATTATTACATTTCTGAGCCTCAATCAATGATGTATTTTAATACAGTGAAATATTACTCCTAAAAAGAAAGTATTTGATCGTCCCTTAAAGTTTGTTGTAACAAGACCTAATATATTTATGTATGTATGTGTACATATCTATGTTAAGTTCTAGTGTGCAAACTAACAGCCCCACAAAAAGAAGAAAAGGCAACTCTTCTATAATCAAGCAAAGGTCTCAATCAAAATTGAATAGCCTATTCATAATTCTAGTTCTGCATGTCTTCATGATATATGTAACAACTGAGGAATTTATTATCTCTATAGAGCTATCAATATAGGATAGTCTGGGGAAAATATGGAAATCATTAAGAGCTGTCTGCAAAGCTATGGAAATCCATATCCATGTACATTTAACTACTTTTAGAGTAAGTTTCAAAATGGTAATTTTCTTGAACAACTGAAATTATCAACTTTCATCCTCAAACTCTAAAAAATCCATGAAGGGTAGCATCTCTCAAGAAGATGAAATGTCTGTGTCTCCTCTGTCCCCCTCCCCCCATGAGTTAGATCCAATACCATCCACTCCATTTGCATGGAATTTCTCTCCACCCCCCAACATAACTCTGCCTCCAACAATGGCAGCAGTAGCAGTAGCAATCTAATTAAGCAAAAGCAACTGCGGCCAATAAGCCCTCTTCACTCACCGGGAAAGCGGGCAGGCATCTTCCTATTCCTCGGCACCCCTGCCACCACAGCCAGACCCGCCAGGCTCTGGACCCCCAGCTTTTTTCCATATTTGAGCTGTTTCTAGTTGGAGGTTGCCTTCTATTCTGGGTTTCCTTATATTTGGAACAATATGGTACAATCACTCAGAAATACACTGTGTCCCAAGTTTTAACAGATCATATAGAACAAATATATTAATAATGAGCACCACAGTTACCATATAAAGGCAAGCCTATAACACGCACCTTTAGACAGAAAAAATTAAAAGCACTGAAATCCTGTATGTTGTGTACTTTTAGTGAAAGGCACTGCTGCTAAATGATTTGAAGATTTAAAGCATAGGTTAAAAAAGAAACACAAAAAATGTTTGAGGCCAATTCGTAAAATTAATATGTTATCAGCTGTGCATGTTATAGGTAGTGAATTACTATAAATACTTTAAAATAATCAAATCTACTTAATTTCAGAAGTGTTAATAATTTGTTAGACTTTAAATAGAAGAATGATTTTTGTAATGACCATATGAAGTTTTCAGTGATATTTTTAGTGTCCATATCAATGTGATTAAAATTTATACATTTTCTTATTTCCTTCACTTATCTAGTGGCATGATTATATATGGAGATGCCATTACATTTTAAAATTTCCATTTCATATAGAAGACATACAAAATGTCTATGCATCGGTCAAATTTCCATTTTTCTGGATGGACTTGGTGCTGGAGGGATCATATTTAACTGAATTGCAAAGAAAATCCAAAAATACAACTCTTGGCCTAGAGTTCCATGTTTCTCCTCTACTATTATCTGGAGCCCAGTATCCATGATAAACAGCCAAATGGACTAATTTACACACGATTTCCTTCATCTTGCTCTCCAGTGGGAGCATTAGGTCCCAAAAAGTAGAGAGCAGGAAACACATTCATCCTTAGGCTAGGGGAATCATGGCGACAAAACATACACACAGGTTGTGAACAATCAAGACCATCTAGACAATGAGTTTTTAAATATGACTTGGCAATGTTTTCCAAAAGCACTTTGAGGGTCATCTAGGTGGTAAAGTTGGATAGAGTTGAGGACCCGAATTCAAATTCAGCCTCAGAAGCTTACTAGCTATGTGACCCTAGGCAAGTCAATAACGCTGATTGCCTCAAAAAAAATCTAAAAAAATAAAAAGCCCTTTGAAAAATTGAGAACATTATTCTACTTCTTGTTGCTTGGATTTCCTTAAAAATATTTTCTCTTCCATGAATAGCACCCATCACTCTATAACTTCTATGGGTAAAGTACTAAAGATGAACAGGGGAGTACAAAGGATGTTGTTAAGTGTTCTGAGGTATTCATACTAAACAGTAGTGACAAGTAAGCCCTTTTTACTATATATGTAAATTAACACTAACTACCCAATGAGTAAAAAGGAAGACATGTATATTATACTGATACAGGAAGATAGAATTGTATTTTTTTCACTCTAGCTATATTTGCCATGTGTTAATGTGACAAAGTTGAATCAATCTACTTTCCATTTCCAGCCAGTGTGGCCATTCCGGTCATTTTTATAAATAGTCATCAAGTTGTCAGATGACACATGGTTATTTACATCATTAAAACATATCGTCTTATATCATCATCAGAAATAAAAAATAAAACTTATAGGCACTTCTAAGTCTTTCACATTAGCTGTGGAAGATTTCCAGCTGTGAGAATCATAACTTGGTAGGTTTTCGGTCTCTATCTCTTATGATTTCTCCTTTAGTATTAAAACAACTAAGCAATTAAGTTTTAAAATAAGAAGGAATCATTTATTCACCAAGTGAAATGTGTAAATTTGAACCCCAGTTCAAATCCTGACTCTGTCGCTTACTACCTATGATATTAAGCACAGCATTTAACTTCTCTGTCTCAGTTTTCATCTGTAAAATGAGAAGACTGAACTTGATGGATAATACCTACAGTTCCTTCCAGTTCTAAATTGATGATCTAATGAAATTACTGCAATATAACAAGAGATAAGAGTGGGGAGAAGGCAACAGTTTGCACACAGTAGGCACTTAAATATTTGTTACAGAAAAATGGCAACATAAATCTTTGAAGATTGTCAGCAGTAAGTTGTTTTTAGCCTATGTTTTATTCGTTGTTGTCCCTGGTCATTTTAAGTATTTTAATTAGTACATTAAATGTTTCAGAACTTGTATCCTAACTGCCAATAAAGGATTTTTTTACAGTCCTGTAAATTAAAATCATTACAAATTCATGCCAACACTTTTCTACAAATGCAGGTTGGAGATATGGAACTTCAAAAGAATTAGATTTTGTTTACCATTAAAAAATTTTTAAATGACAATTTTAAGTGAAAAAAATTTCTAGTGCCATTTTAAAAATATAGATTGTCTTACTAGAACAAGCTGGCTTTGTTTATGAACGTAAAAAGAAAAGTTTTGTTACTATTTCAACCACTACTAAAGCCATGTAATACTGAGGAAAGGAGACTGAATGTTAGTCAAAGTCTATGAACTTGAATTTTAGTTCCTGCATTAATGTCTACCTCTGTGGTCTTGGATAAAACTCCTTAATCTCTCTGGGTGTCAATTTTTTTCATCTGAGAGAAAAACAAGGGGTTGGACTAGATGATATAAGGTCCCTTTCATCTCTGTATCTATGAGCCCATGGTGGGTTTCATATATGCTGTCCTTCATAAAAATTACACTGTCAACTTTGAATGTGTTGTAAAGAATCCTGGTAAGGAATATTATTTTTTGTTAATCTAGTCATCCAACTCTCCTTGAAATTAAGGACATTAATTGTAAGACTTTCAGACGAAGATTAAGGGTAGGATTCATGGCCATAAAGTAGCTCTCTCAAGAATGAGTCGTTGATTTTAAACAGCTAGTAAATGTCAGAAGGATCCCAACCCATTCTATCCACTAACCAGCACATTGCCCCCTCAATGGTGGCACAGTAGTTAAAGCATTGAGCCTGAAGTCAGGAAGACCTGAGTTCAAATTTGGCCTTAGAAACTTACTGACTGTGTGACCCTGGGCAAGTCATTAAACTTCTGTTGCTTCAGTTTCCTCAACTGTAAAATGGGGATAATAATAGCAGCTACCTCACAGCGTTGTGAGCAACAAATGAGATAATATCTGTAAAAGTGTTTAGCACAGTACCTGTGGCACACAGTAGGTGCTTTATTAATGCTTATTCCCTTCAGCCCTCCCACTCAGCAGAGAAGCTGACCTCTTTTACTGAGAAAATAGAAGCCTTCTATACTGAGCTCCTTCTCCCCTATACCTCAGAACACATCTACATCATCCCCAAGTGTCTCCTCCTTTAAACCAGCCTCTGACAAAGGCATTTTTACTTGCCTCTCCATGGAGAACCTGAGAATCATTCTTCTGTTTATTTACGACTTCTTTTCTTTTCTGGTTTTATTTATAGAGTCAAATGTCAAAACTGGTATTATCTAGCTTATCTAGTAGCATTCCCACAAGATTATCACTGAGCAACAACCTCACATATATGGTACCCACAAGTCAGTTTCTCTAGCATAGGGATTCTTAAATACTTTGGCCACATAATGAGAAGATAGGACTCATTGGAAAAGATTGATGCTGGGAAAGATTAAAGGCAAAAGAAGAAGGGGATGGCAGAGGATGAGATGGAGAGACATTATCATGGAAATAATGAATATGGAAGGAATGAACATGAGCTTGGATAGACTTGGGGAAATAGTAGAGGACAGAAGGGGCTGGCATGCTATGGTCCAGGGGGTCATGGAGAAGTGAATATGACCGAACAACTCAACAACAGCTACAGAGATTCTAATCTTTTATGTTAAGGATAGGGACCCTTTGGACAGTGTTGTAAAGTCTATGGACTCCTCCAAATAATGTTTTTAAATGCATAAAATAATTGTATTGAAAAACAATTACCAATTGTTTAAGACAAGTTCTTGGATCCCAAGTTAATAGAATGCCCATTAGTTTGTCACTGAACAAGGACCTCACAAGTATAGTACCAACAGTTCAGTTAATATTTATATACACTCTAAAAATGAAGGGATTCTTTATACTCTCTGTCCTTTTTTTTTGTTATTCGGCCACCAGTACTGCAAATGCAGAATTGAGCCTCATAAGGCTGTAAACCACTTTATATTCTTCATTTCTCAAATTAACATGGCCAAAGAGTTCATCATTAGTGGCCAGGTTTTTTTTTTTAAATAAAATTTTCTCTCAAACCATCCATAAGTTTTCCTTAAAGGAAAGACCATTATATTGAGCTTTCTACTTGCTATGCAGAATAGACCATTTTTAATTGGTTAGAATAGCACAAAGGACCTAATAATACTCAGATTTACCACTTAGAAACAAAATCAAAACACTAATGCACTTGGAGCAAAAATTCAGAAACCCAAGGCCATCTTCAATTATGTGAGGCCAACTTTGGAAACTGGAACATCGATCTACTGAAGTGGTTTCCTGTCACTTAAGGATGCTTAATTTTTTATAAGTCCTGAAATTTGGCCAAAAGTGAGATGCAGTCTATTCAATTTCATGATGTATTATATGCCTAGGATAAAGCAGTACAGGGAATTAGCAATTTTTTCTTTATTGGAGGCCACAAATAAGTATTATCTTTTAGATTATTGGTAAAAATATATATATATATATATATTTTAGCCATTTTTTCCCAAAAGCATTGTGCTATTTTCATCTTAGTCTTTATTTTTGGAGGTTACAAAAACCCCACTTGCATAAGACCTTGATCAAAAGATTACTGGATATTTGTTTAAAGAAATCTAAGATATTCATGATTTGTAATAAGAAAATCCATGTTTACCAAATTAAAATAAATCTATTCAAAATCTGGTGGAGAATTTGAAAATTTTCCTAGCTTTACAAATATGTATTCCATTAAGTGTGAAAAAATAAAGTGTTCTACCCACTTAAAGGCCATCACAAGACCCAGGACATATATTGTATTTGGACTTTCAAGAAAAATATTTTGACCTACTAATCTAGATTTAGCTGTTCATTATTCAGAGAAGAGAAATATATGTTTGGAAAACTGAAACAGTTGAGTTCAGATCACAATTCGACGTGACAAAATCTTGCACA